TCTTTTTTCAAAGATTGCTGCAAATGGTCATAAATAGATTCACACCCTGGTCAGTCTCTCTTCACACTTCTACCATCGGTCAGAAGACATCGAAGCATAGCTGGCCGAACAAATAGGTTTTAAAATAGTTTCTAACCTTGTGGAGTTAAAGACTCAAACACAACCACAATCACTCCATACACATACAGAAACGTATGACTAGTTTTTTTCTTTCTTTTTCTTTTCCTAATTATTTGCATAGGGATTATTCTTTATACTATTTATGTTGTTTGTATTTGTTGCCATGGATTGCACCAGTGAGGCTAAAATCAATTTCATTGTATACATGTACAATGATAATAAAGGCTACACTATACCATACCATACTATTGCTGTTGCTATTGCTATACTATAAATGTAGCCCAGTTGCCTAGTATCTGAAATGCAGTCACATGACTGTGTGAGGTGGTGTCATTGGAACTTCCAACCCCAGGAAGGCTTACCATAATTTGGAATGGTTGCAAAGCAACTGAGGATAAGGACTACCTATGCAGAAGCATGAGTAAATATGAAACTCCATCGCTATGCGTCTGCATGTCTGGACACGAAAAAAAAAAATCTTCCTGAATTTAATATGAAGATTCAAAGGGAACCTTACAGGCTTTGAATCAAACATACGTTAACCAAAACGGAGACTCTTGAAAAGCAGTCCATAAACTCCATGTTCACTCCTTACCTCACCTTAAAAGTAAACAGGAATGTTGCTATAATTTTGCCGTAAAGTAAATCACAGGGGGGAAAAAAGCTGAACAAAGTGAAAGAGGGTAAATTATTTCTAGCATTGTGGTCACAAAGTGACTCAATTCATCTCTTCCTAGGCTACAATTTTGCCATGTTAAACACTGGAAGTTTAATAAAATATAATCAATTTTAATTATAGCAAAATGAAGAGCACTTAAGACTTATATATTGCTTCAGAGTGGTTTATAGCCCTCTCTAAGTGGTTTACAGAGTTAGGATATTGCCCTCAACAAACTGAGTTCTCATTTTACCAAACTCAGAAGGATGGAAGGCAGAGTCAACCTTGAGCCCGTGAGAGTCAAACTGTTAAACTGCTGGGAGCCAGCAGTCAGCAGAATTAGCCTGCAGTCCTGCATTTTAACCACTGCGCCACCATAGTCCTAATTATGTTATGTTTTACTTGTATTTTAAAAGTACAGAATTTTAATATTTGAATTATCGTAATATAAAATTTTTAATTATATATTTTTTTAAATTAAGAAATTTAAATAAAATCTAATAATGCTTTCAGAAGTTTGGCTGATATTTAAGAAACTTTTTTTTATTAAATGCAATCTGGAAATACTGCATTAATATTAACTGCAACCTAATTTTCAAACAAAACGTGATTAAATAACGTAATGGTAATGTCACCAATAATAGTGGTATAATACTTTCTCCTTGTCAATAAAGAGGTAGTTGTCACATTGATACGTCTACCAATTTGTTTAATGAATATAAATTTGGCAAACTGACGTGAATATTGTAACAGTAGTCAAAATTATTTAACATGCAGTACTATATTACTAATTTAAGCAAGCTTTTATGAAACATTTATTTGGTAAGATAGAAACCACAGCAATTAATTGTTCCGCTTTGCAAATCTATGCAGTGATTCCTGCCCTATTGGTGATGCAATGTTGCCACACATGTAACCACACCACACTTTTATCCTTCTTAGTTAGCTGTAATTACAAGAACAGTGGAGAAGCCAGCCAAAGCAGCCTGAACCTTTTATCTGGAAGGGTCCCCCTCTCACCTTGCCCTTCCCACCTATGAAGGGAACAAGAATTAAAGCAGCAGTTTTAGGCCTAACCACAATAAAAAAGGAATAGCAATAGTACTTAAGACTTATATACCGGTTCACAGTGCTTTAGAGCCCTTTCTAAGCGGTTTACAGAGCCGAGGTGGTGCAGTGGTTAGAGTGCAGTACTGCAGGCTACTTCAGCTGACTGCCGGCTGCCTGCAATTTTGCAGTTCGAATCTCACACCAGGCTCAAGGTTGACTCAGCCGTCCATCCTTCCGAGGTTGGTAAAATGAGGAGCCAGATTGTTGGGACCAATAGGCTGACTCTGTAAACCGCTTAGAGAGGGCTGTAAAAGCACTATGAAGCGGTATATGAGTGTTATTGCTACTGCTACAGAGTCATTGTCAACTCTGAATCCAACCTCACTGGGGTCATTTTGGAGGCTTCACGGTTGCCAGTCAGCCTATTGCCCCCCAACGATCTGGGTCCTTATTTTACTGACCTCAGAAGGACGGAAGGCTGAGTCAACCTTGAGTCTGTGAGAATCAAACTGCCAAACTGATGGCAGCCCGCAGATTATTATATTATATTTATCTATTTAGATAGAAGATAGATAGATAGATAGATAGAGACAGACAGACAGACAGACAGACAATGATAGAAAGGTAGACAGACAGATGATAGACAGACAATAGTTACAGACGATAGACGATAGACAAGCAGACAGATAGATGATAGACAGACAGATCAATAGATGATAGACAGATAATTTATATGTATGCAGTTATTATAATACAATAAATATATACTGTGTGTGTGTGTGTGTATACACACACATATTTATTATAAGTATTATAATACGTTTATTAAAATATGAAAAACAAAATAAGGAAATGAAATAATAAAATGGAAAACAATGGAAATGTAAAAGTAAACTAAAGAAATGACACAGCAAATAAAATAAAATGTTATTGGGGGCGGTGTGTGTGTGTGTCTCCCGCAGGGAGGAATCCAAGCACAGCGTCCTAACTGGGGGCGGGGGATCCTCGTGCCATCTTTGCGGGCGGCTCCCCTCAAGGATCCAGGCCAGACCGCGAAGCAGCTACCCCCACGCCGCCCCGCCCTGCTCACTCGAAACACGGCTGCCCTCCAACTTGCCCCCGCTGCTGCCGCCGCCGCTCTCCTCGCCGGGTTCGGCAGCCGGTCCTTGCAGCGGCCGCAGGGCAACCACGAAGCGGAGCAGCTCGGCCGCGCTGACCGACTCCCGCGCCTCGAAGTCGCCGCCCAGGCAGTCGCCCAGCAGAGCCCCGAGAAGGCAGCCCCGGCAGCGGCTCCGCGTCAGCTGAGATACCTTGGCCGCCATGTTGCGCGAGGGGGCGGGGCCGCTGAGGCAGAGGCCCCGCCCCTTTCCTCCTCCTCTTCCGCCCTCGGCGGCGCCAGGTGAGCCGCGCAGTCCCACGAAGCCCCGCCCCTTCCCCCAACTCTCGTCTACCTGCTGCCCCTCCGGCCTCCAGATGGGAATGAGGGAAAATAGGGATTAGAAGGCGCGCTCTCCTTTTTCTCCTCCGTTAACTGAAATTATTATTGCAATTCTTATTACTACTAAAATTGGTATTTTAGTATAGTCCCAAGTGTTTAGTATTTAGTACCAAGCATCTGCACCAAAGACAAATTCCTTGTGCGTCCAATCGCACTTGGCCAATAAAGAATTCTGTTCTGTTCTATGCTATGCTATGCTATCTCCTATTCTTCTAGTCTAGTCTATCTTCTCTTCTATGTCCTATTCCTCTTCTCCTGTTCTGTTCTGTCCTATTCATAATTCATATTTATTCTATCTCCTATTCCTCTTTTCCTATTCTACTCTACTCTATTTGCTATTCCATTCTATTCTAATTGCTATTCTTAATTCTGTTCTGTTCTAGTCTAGTCTCCCCTATCTCCTATTCCTCTTCTTATTCTATTCTATTCATAACTCATATTCCATTCCATATTCTATTCTATAAATTATTACAGGTAGTCCTCCATTTACAATTGTTCATTTAGTGACCATTTGAAGTTATACCTGACTGAAAAAAGTGACTTTAGACCATTTTTCACACTTACAACCATTGCAGCATCCTCGAGGTCATGGGACCAAAGTTAGGGTGCTTGGTAATTGATTCATATTGGCGAGGGTTGCAGTGACCTCAGATCATTTGTGAGCATCTTTTGCAACCTTCGGACAAGCAAAGTCAGTTGAGGGAGCCAGATTCATTTAACAGCCTGGTTATTAACAACTGCAATGATTTGCTTAACAACTGTAGCAAAAAAAGTCGTGGAATAGGATAAAACTCACTTGGCAGCATACATTTTGGGCTCAATTATGGTTGTAAAAAGGGACGTGGTGGCTCAGTGGCTAAGATGTGACCTTGTCAATCAGAAGGTTGGCAGTTCGGTGGTTCAAATCCCTAGCTCTGTGTAACAGAGTTAGCTCCCGTTACTTGTCCCAGCTTCTGCCAACCTAGCAGTTCAAAAGCATGTAAAAATGCAAGTAGAAAAATAGGAACCACCTTTGGTGGGAAAGTAACAGCGTTCCGTGCGCCTTTGGCATTTAGTTATGCCAGCCACATGACCATGAAGACGTCTTCGGACAGCACTGGCTCTTCGGCTTTGAAACGAGATGAGGACTGCCCTCTAGAATTGGGAATGATTAGTACATATATGCGAGGGGAACATTTACCTTTTACCTTTATGGTTGTAAGTTGAGGACTACCTGTATTTTCCATTTTTTTGAGCTTTACATGATCTTTCTAGATTCAATCTGGTTTAGTCTTCTCTTTGTATAACACTCATCAGTCAAACTCCTGTGTATTCTTACCTCGTAAATTGTTTCCTTCCTCCTTACTTTCCCTTGAAAGTAAGGGAAATGAATTAATTTATTTCCTGATTCCAACCAACCACTTCAACCCAGGTCCCTGTGATCGTTGGAGCTTTCTTGCAAACCCATTGTAAAATTTGGACACTGAAGTACTTCAGTATCCTGCTTAATTAAGTAGATGAAATTAACCTCCTCTTTAGAAGGGAGAAAAAATAAATGGGATGGAAATTCAGGAGCTCCCCTCCTACAGATTTTTCTCCAGCCCCCTGGCACTGATGAAATGTCTAGCTGTGCACAAGTTGAAGCAAGCTTGTCAGAAATCTCAAGTTACATCAAAAACCACTCATGAATCTTAATGGCTTGACAGCACCAAGGGCAGCCTTTTTAATTAGTTATCCAACTTTTTTTTCATGCAATATACCAAAGCTGTGAGACTCAAATAAAGGGCAAATACACAACTCTGGGAAGGGGCAAAGATAAGATGACTTGAGTCATTATAACCCAATGCAGACCGTAGCCTGGCTTGGTTGGAGGTCAATCCTGAGAAGGTCTACTATGTTCTCAGTTATCCTAGGCCAGCTCCAGTTGCCGGCTTTTGAGGGGCGAGAGAGTACGGTTGGTCGTGCGGTTGAAAGTGTCCACCTCTGGCACAAATTTCTCAGCTGGAACCGTCAGCTTTCGCCTGCCATCCATGCATTTGTTATCCAGCACCAGAGAGTTCATCTTGTAGGAAATATCTGTCTGGATGCGGTACAGGTGCTTATAGAGGGCATCTAGAGCATCCCTGCAAAAATGAAGAGAGGATGGTTGCGGCTTCATTCCAGGTGAACTAAACATTGTAAATCTTCCCACTTTAATCTTATTCTAATATTTACTGCCAAGGGAGGGAAACGGAAAACATCTGAAACTAGTAAAGGGAGTGAGAAACACGATTTCCAAAATGATATTGCAAGATCATCCCTTCCCACCACCACCAAAAAAAACACTTCCCCTTAAAGAGAAAAGTTGAAGACAACATGATATCTGTGTACACACTGCTAGCTATTGTTTACCATGGATCTATTCTAGAGACAGTAGGACAGGCTTTTATACATCTCTCAAAATAGACCAAATGAAATTATTTAATTTGTTCGTTTGTTAGTTTGAGGCACGGTGGCTTTATGACACTGGAGATGATTTCTGCTCTGGCGGTTCGAGTCCTAGGACTGTGTGGCAGGGTGAGCTTCCATAACTCTCCTCGGCTTCTGTCCACCTAACAGTTTGAAAACATGTTCTATGCAAGTAGATAAATAGGTACCAGTTCAGTGATAAGGAGGCGAGCTGGTGCTCTGTGCAGGCAGTCAGTTTCCTAACAGCTCTGAACCTTCCTGCTTACAGTGCGCATTTGTGAGGCAGCTCCCAGGAAGGGAGTTGGCCTTGGTTGACACTGTAGGAAGAACTGTTCATCTTTCTCTCTGTGCAAAGCCAGCTCGCCTAAGATGCATACACTTTTCAACTCATGCTGGCTGGAGGATTCTGGAAGTTGAAGTACACACATATTAAAGTAGTCAAGCTTGATAAATACTGTATTAGAAGTGGGACACCTTGGAAGCATGCAAATGTGTCCTATAACAGGGATGGTACCTTGGCAAGCCAAACTGCTACTCTGCAATAGCATTGTGGTCTTCTGTCTATTGTAATAATGCCATATACTCAGGAGTGATATTCAGTTGGTTCTGACAGGTTCTGGAGAACTAGTAGTGGAAATTTTGAGAACTGGCAAATACCACCTCTGACTGGCCCCGCCCCCATCTATTCTCTGCCTCCCGAGTTCCAGCTAATCAGGAGGGAATGGGAATTTTACAGTAACCTTCCCCTGGAGTGGAAGGGAATGGAGATTTTGCAGTATCCTTCCCCTGTCATGCCCACCAAGCCATGCCCACAGAACCGGTAGTCAAAACAAAAAATTGAATTTCAACACTGCATATGCTAATAAATATTTATTTGTTTGTTTCTTTTTGTTTATCTTTTATGTCACCCGTCTTACCTAGAGGAACCTCTAGATGGCCCACAATCATAGAAACAAGATGTGTATTGATTTGAATGGCAATCAGATTTAATTATTTCACAGGTAATTATTGCAGAGGTGGGCAACTGCAGCCGCAGGGTCGCATACAGCCCACACATCTTCCTTTTGCAGCCTTAGGCATCCCCTCTGACCTTTGCTGAAAACTGAACTCACAACTTCCTGCCATGCTCAGAAGAAAATGCACTAAAAGTGCACTAAAACCCTTAACTATATCGCAGTTGAAAAATAAAGTGGAAATAAAATCCAAGCCCTCCAATCTCACTGATTTATTTTATATAATCCAGTTTCCTTTGAGGCCCTCAGCCTCCTCCTTCCTTTCCCTCCTTCCCTTGTTGAGCTTTGGCCATGTTGTGGCTAAAACTTGAATCGTCTAAAGCTATCAAAATCACTTTGAAGACACAACATAAATTTATTAAGCAAGCAAATAATTACAGGGTAGATCAGGTTCCCAGAAAAGCATTGGCAGCTTCCTGAGCAGCCCTGAGCAAAAACAGAACCACAGCTTACATACCTTTTATCCTACTACATTACAAAAACAAGGCAAAGTCAGACGTGGTGTAAATTGTAGCATGACACAAGCCAAATCACCAAATCACAGCCCCCCACCTCTATTTGGAAGCTAAAGCCAAATTAACATATAATTGGCTTTGAATTAATACCATTATAGATCTGTCATGACTTCAGTTCAGCTGATGTTTTAACATTCTCTCAGACGACTGTACCAGAGGTGATATTCAGCAGGTTCTGACCAGTTCTGGAGAACCGGTAGCGGAAATTCTGAGCAGTTTGGAGAACCGTTAAATACCACCTTTGACTGGCCCCGCCCTCATCTATTCTCTGCCTCTCGAGTCCCAGCGGATCGGGAGGGAATGGAGATTTTGGAGTAACCTTCCCCAGAGTGGGATAGGAATCGAGATTTTACAGTATCCTTCTTCTGGAGTGGAATTCCCCTGCCACGCCCACCAAGCCACACCCACCAAGCCAAAAATTTGAATCTCACCACTGTGCTGTACCCTTACCAGAAGTGGGTTGCTGTCAGTATTACTGCCAGTTCGGTGGCACAAAAAATTTGCTCCATGCACATGCGCATTTGCACAAAAATAGGTCTCTGCATGCGCAAAATGTTAAAAAAAGAAAAAAATTAAATTTGTGCAATGAAAATTGTTCTGCGCATGTGCAGAACCTAAAATCAAAGATGGTGCCGCCATATGAGAACCGGTTCAGGGGCGTGCCAGGCCTGCGTTACCGGTTCGGCTGGACAGGTCCGAAATGGTAGGAACCTACTTCTGACCCTTACACAATCTTCTTACTTTGGTCGAAAATTCCTACGTGTTTGCAACTACATAAACGGTTGGGGTTCTCCGTCTTTTTAAAGTATGTTGCATGCAAAGATGTTAAAACTCATCAAGTTAATCATACTTACCGTTTGTATTTGTGGATAAGGCCATGCATAACCTGAGCCTTGAATTTTAACCAAAATACCACCACCTGCAGATAATATGATTCCCACCTTTTTCATGTTTTAATTTTCACCATTGGCTTCTCTACAGGTGGTGCATTTTTCACGGTATTTTGGTTAAAAATTTGAAAGTTGGCTTATGCACGAATGGGTATATACACAGGAATTATGTTGTATTCCTTTGTGGGTTTTTTTATTCCTCAGGACTGCCTAGAATTATTTTGGCAAGATTTCAGAAGTGGCTTGCCATTAATGTCTTCTTTGGGATGAGAGCGAGTGACTGGCCCAAGGTCACGGAACGGACTTTGCGCCTAAGGTGCAACTAGAACCAAAATACACACTACAACTTACTGTGACTGTGCCATTTTCTGCTTTAATGCAGCTATTGTGCCTTCTAGTTGATGAACTTCATCTGTTAATCCATGTTGAGCCTAGAATTAAGGAGACAGAAAGCAAGCAATTCAGATTTCAGAAATAGCAACGGCCAGGCTGATCAGAGAAATATAACTTTTTGCACAGTACCACCTCCTGCTATAAAGAACTTTGTCTCTCAAGTAGTCTTCACCTAAACTGCCATCACAAGTCTAGGTGGCCACATGACTGGAAGTAATTTTACAGCCTTTTTTGTGGCAATCATAGTGAACACAGCAGTCATTAAGCAAATCCATTTATTTCTGGGTGTTCCCCCCCCCCCCCGCCACAAAATGGCAAACATGCAAGAAAGTGGCAAAAAAAAATCACAAACATGGTCATATGACCACAGAACACTGACCAGTCTGAAAGCTGACCCACCTGACATGTAGTCACATGACCAGGGGGAGGGAACTTACAATGGCCAGGGGTGTTTCAGGGGCCATAAAGTAGCAATAGCAATGGTACTTAGACTTATATACCACTTCACAGGGCCTTACAGCCCTCTCTAAGCGGTTTACAGAGTCAGCCTCTTTCCCCCAACAATCTGGGTCCGCATTTTAGCCACCTCAGAAGGATGGAAGTCTGAGTCAACTTTGACCCTGTGAGAACCGAACTGCTGGCAGTCAGCAGAGTCAGCCTGCAATACTGCATTCTAACCATTGCACCACCAGGGCCAAGGAAAGGAAGGGAGAAATAGCAATAGCACTTAGACTTATATACCTCGTCACAGTGCTTTTACAGCCCTCTCTAAGCAGTTTACAGA